AATGTATCAGTTTCTGAAATTTGAAAACCACTGGTCTAACAAGTTAACTCTCTTCATATGATAATAATTCTGAGTATCTGTACACCAACAAGGCAAGAATTATCGTTCGTACTTTTTCCAACTCATTAATAAAACCAGAGAGCTAAAGGGCTTGTTCAGTATCATATAATTCTTTAGTGGCGGAAGCAAAACTAGATTCACCCTTTTTTTGGCCTCCAGTCTCAAGATATTTTCATTATATCCAGTACTTAGCAGAATGTCTAGCACATAGTAGTCATTCAATATATGTGTTTTGAATAAATGAATACATAAATAAATGATTATAAATCATGGTATCTTTCGTAAAATTCTTGAAACTAGCCAATTAGAAGTGCTACTAAATATAGACTATTATCTTGGCCTCTTAAGAGATTATTTAAAATCTTGTTAATTTTCTCTCTGGTCTTGGACATTCTACATGATCTTATTACATGATGTATATACTTTTCTTTAAAAAAGTTAACACCAAAATTTAATACATTTACTTCTCTACCTGTTCCAGTGCAAATGTTCTCATAATCTAGAAAGATGGACTTGACATAAATTCTAGGCAGTGACAGTTAAAGAAAACTTGTAAGTAGTTTAAGTACATATATCATTCCACAAGCTTAGGCTAACAATGCCCCAACGATTTTGATTGCATCATTCTTGTGAAAGTGCTAAGAAATGAAAAATAGTTGTCAATTTAATTGTAATTATTTTGTCATTCTACATTTTCAAGCAATCTTACTGTTTAGAACAATGTTTATTATCCACCACTACTGCCCCAAATAGGGTTTGAAGAGCTTTTAATTTGTAAATTAAGCATCATAACAAGTAACAGCTTCTCTGTCTGTCGCACTTTTCCAGATAATGGTCATTTGAACTGTCTCTGAGTCTGGAGGTTGCTGTTAACAAACCAGATTGTATTGCTGCTGAGCTAGTTAACATTCATATTGGACTTTCAAAAGAACGTGGAGAAAACAGTCAGCTCTTTGATAGCATTTATGATGGTCACACAGCTGGGCTAATGAAGACAATATGTCAAGGCTTGAACAGCAATAATTTTACAGATTTTTGAGACATCTATTTGGGTTTACAGAGCTGATTTCCTCTTTGGAGACTGCATTCTGAATTAGTGATAACCACCTTTATAAAGAAAAGATTGAATATGAAGGGTCCAAGGAATTTAGGCTAACGAAGTAATTCTAAGACTAATCAGACAAAGAGAAATATTGTCTGAAATGACTCTGAATTTAAATTTAAAATTGGGTGTGGCATTTGGGGTGAGAATGGGAAAGACTCTGAAGAGAGAGAGGAAGGGACTCTGAGGAGCTAATAAGAAATACCACACAACATGTATCTTTATGAAGGTCCTTATTACTCATAATGCAACATGTGTGTGAGCTTCCACTTTGAGAGAAGACAAACTAAGTAACAGCTATTTCTTCAGCCAGGATTTAGTCATTTTTTGTTAAAGATCTTTTAAATGAGCCACTTTTTCCTTAAACTCCAATAATCCCTGTTCCCCAGAACATATATTCGTTTAACTTCTAAGCTCTCAAGATTACACTTGCTTATTTTTATGTCTAAGAAACACCTTTATTTCTGTAAGAACAATATTCTTATAGAGAAAGAGGAATTTCTAGAGTGCAGTTGATTTGAAAATTACCTAATTTAAAATATTTTAAAATCCCACAAAGCTAGGTAGGTAGTCACTGCCTGCCTCCCAATAAACTATTTCTGGACTGTAGGTGGACTCTACTTTCCAAGATGACAAAAGACAATTCATATAGTTATTCAACTTCCTGATCATAATTTTTGTAGGTCCCCTTGTGGTAGAGCCCTAAAGCCTTGTCAAGTTATTTTACTGGCAGAAGAGTGCCCTCGTTATCATCCTAGCAAAGCCCACGTGGACACCATACAGGTTTAGGCCCAAATTGTTAACCAAAACGTGCTCAAAATTTGAAAGTCATCAGAGCTTGCAGTTAGCACCCTGACACTTTCCCTTTGTAAGTTCATTTTTATTATGTGCCTTGTTTCTTTACGTTATCTTTTTCACAGTCGTAATTACTATAATAGCTAGCATTTATTGAGGATTTACTATAAGCTAGGCACAGTGCTGAATATTTGATGCAAATTGTTTCATTGATTCACATAGCAACCATAGGAAGTAAATATTATGATCATTATCTCCAATTCATAGATAAGAAAACTCATGCTTAGAAAAGCTAAAAAACTTGCCATAAATCACAAAGCTATAAAATTAGAGTCCTAAGATATCAATCACGTAAAAATTCCAGACAATTTGGTCTGCTCAGAGAACAGTATTTTCTAGATTTGAGCAAGCACTCCTCTTTAGAATTTTTCAAAGGCTTCTATAAGAATTCCAATTTGGAAGACTCAGGAAATTAAAGTATTAGTCTATATTTGAAATTATTACATGAAAAAATTCTTTTTTAATCGACAAAGTTTTGAAGGTTATTAATAAAAAATCAAACTTCAAAGATTTGCAATTATATGAAATTTCATCTCCAAAACCACTGAATATATGGCAGTGAAATAAAACTTGAGTTCTGACTAACGTTTCTGTGTGTCATCTCTGCAATTAAAATTCTCCTGCCCCCTTTTCAAAACAATTTAAAATCTTACATTCTCCTTTAATTTTCTTTATAAATTAAAAGTGATTATTGTTCTTCTGTTTCTGGCCAAAATAGAGTAATAGGGACAAAATTTACCTGTCTACCTTGTTCACTGTCTTAAAAAACAGTTTCAAATATTTTTTCCCCTGTTTGTTTTTTCAGGTACAACTCTTTTGAAAGAGAGTTTTATTTTTTTTTAATTAAATATACACCCACCACAGAGTTCAGTCATTTCAATCCTATTTATTTACCCAAAATGAATGAAAGCATATGTCCACACAAAGACTGATCACCGATGAGCTATTCATACATGCAACAACCTGGATGAATCTAAAAATAATTGTGCATAATGAAAGAAGCCAGACATGAAGAGTACATACTATATAACTCCACCTATATGTAAAACTAGAAAATACAAACTCAGCTGTAGCGATAGGAAGCAGATAAGTGGTTGTCAGATTAGGGTGGGGTGTGAAGAAACTATTGGGGATGATGGATATGATATGTTTACTGTCTTGCTTTTGGTGATAGTTTCACAGATAAATCTGTGTGTAAAGACAGGTTAAAAGTTACTAAACTGTATATCTTAAATATGTGTACTTCATTGTCTTTTATTTTTAACAAAACTTTTAAACTTTTTGTAAGTAATTTTGACTAAAACTTAATCAGTTTAATCTAAGCCATGGGACAGAGCACTGTGTTCTTTTCCGAGTACTTTCCTTACCTTTAAATTCTGATACACAGCCCTCCAAGACCACTTCCTCCCTCCCATCCCACCCAAATCCCTCATAAAACATCAAATTGCAAAATTAGGAAGTGGCATCATCAGCAGATGCTTCTGACTCTCAAGAGGCAGTTTTACTTCTCTATGTCATTTAGCTCTTTTAAAAATGATGGAAAGTTGCCACTTTAAAAAAAAATCAGTTTTCTTTCCACATGTAAGTATTTTTAGTGGAAATTTTACTCTCAATTCCCTCTAGGTTTAATGTTTTCCATCTGCAATATAAAAGAAAGATAATGCACAATTTTGCTAGTAAGACTCTCTTTTCCAATAATGTTTGCACTTCTCAATAATTACATTTAAAAAGGAAATAGTTGAAAAGTTAGGTAAGAACTTGAACAAAATTGAATAGAGGAAAAATTCCTATCTGAAGACTTGTTGAAAATACATTTAAAGACAGTCTGAGACAGGAGCTGAGCTGGCCAACTCATCTTTTAAATAGCTGAACATCATTCTAATGTCAAGTATTTGACCTGGAGACTGGAAAAGGAGGAGAGAGCCCCCCAAAAAAGTCAAAAGATGAAGAAAAAAGTCAAAGAATTTGTCCCAGGAATCAGGGAACCAAGGTCCAAACTTCCACCCTCTGCCCAACTAAATTATTGCTGCCTCTTTCTGTGAATCTTAAAAGTGTACAATATACCTCATTTAATGACTTTCATTTATTCATGAAAACACTATCCCCATGGGAAAAGTCGTTAAATGTCCTCCATGCCCAAAATATATCAAATGAATTCTATATATATATAAATTATCAATATATATCAAAATATACCAATTAAAAATATCAATTGAACAATACATCAACTGAATTATGAAAGCAAATTATTTACATAGCAAAGAATAACGTAAAGGTTAATAAGTATAGCTTATACTTAAAATACAATGAATTGAAAGCACATGGCACTTAATATAGTAGGAAGAAGAAACTTAATAGAAAGTGGTAGGTAGGGGAGAAGGACTGCAAAGGAGTTACTTTTTGGAAAATGCATTTTTTATTTCTGCATCATTTTATTCACAAATTGTTCTTAATCTTTTGTGGATTTCTTGAATTCACACTAGACTTAAAAATACAGTTATAGCACAGAAAAATATCTTTACTGGCAAAATAAAGACTAAGCAAGAGAGCCTTTCAAAACACATGGAAATAGCACACACATACAAAAAAAAAAAACAGAATAAAGAGATGTACAAGCGACACCTCCTCAACCTTCTCACTTGGTGTACATATGCACAGTAAATTATTTTGGGCACAGCCAAGCATGGGAGCAATTCAAATAGATCCATATGATATTCTCTGATTAGAAACTCTTGTGGAGTAAGTTGGTGAGTATATCTTTGCCTAAAACAGTAATGTCAAAATATAGCTTCTTATAGCATATTTATTTAGTATCATTTTGGTGAAAAAATGGTCATACAGAATAGAAAAGAGTTGTCCAAAAATAAGTGGTTGACCTTTCCAGAGCCATTACCTGCGGAATTGTTATGTAATTCTGTTCCATACTCATAAAGGAATGCTCAACTGACCTAACTGATTTTCTCCTCATGTTTTTTCCTTCAAGGGTTAGTAGATGTCTACATGTAGTGGTGAAAAGCAACCTCAGCCCTATGGTCTAGTATTTGCCCATCAAAATTTGTCTTATGATTTATAGAACTGGAACTTCACTGGTAAGTCACATTCCTAGAGTTTCCCCTCTCCTTACCCCAGTGTTGGAAAGTGAATCAAATCATTGTCATTCTTTCTTAACAAAGAGTATACATTTAAAACTTGCGTAGAATTATGGGTACTGTCCGTGGTCTACAATGGGGAACCTGAAGTCTCAATACTGCAGTTGTCTAATCAGAGGATCTAAGATGCATATGCTCAAGGACTTTATATTTGGCACCCTCTGAAGCTTGGTTTAACAGAGATTCATTTGGATTAGGAGACATTATGTAGGCAATATACTTAATCAGTGGAGGCCTTATGCCTGAAGACATTTAGAAGAATCTGAACTCTTATGTTACTTTTCCTCTCATGGAGTGGAATTCCAAATGTAAAAAAATCAAACAGCATGTGCATAAACATTAGATATTATACCAAAATTTACAAGGCCTTTATAGATATGCAGGTGTTATTGTGTCTGTCCCTTACTTCTATACAGAATTGAATGGGTAGCTGTTATTATTTTATTGCTGTGTAAAAATGAAGAAACTGATAAGTTGTCTAAAGGTGTACAATCAAAACACATCAAAGCCATTGTGAAATGCAGGTCCCTGGATTTCAAAATCAGGTCTTCTGCTTATAAATTCAGACTTTCTCTTATTGCCATAAGCTCCATAATGGGAAAACAAAGTTAACAACAGAAGAGCTTCTTATACTGAGCGTGGTGGCTCATGCCTGTAATCCTGGCACTTTGGGAGGCCATGGCAGGCAGATCACTTGAGGTCAGGAGTTCAAGACCCCCCGTGGTGATCTCAACTAAAAATTAGCTGGGCACAGAGGCGGACACTTGTAATTCCAGCTACTTGGGAGGCTGAGGCAGGAAAATCGCTTGAGCTAGGGAGGCAGAGGTTGCAGTGAGCCGAGATCATGTCACTGTACTCCAGTCCAGGTGATAGAGTGAGACTCCATCTCAAAAAAAAAAAGAAGCTTTTTATCTTCCCCCTAATCACCATAATATTCACTATTAAGTGATGGAAATAGAAATAATTTACTTAGCAAATGCATTCTAGTTAAAAAAAAAATTTGTATACAGGCTGTGCAAACATAATGAGAGATTCTTTTTAGTCATCTTGTTTTATATCACTAATTACACTTTTATTTCATGATATTTTAAAGAAAAATGCATTTTTTTCAAGTAGAAAAATCATATATGTCCACCAAGGAAAGCTGTCATGAATGTAAAATGCATAAAAAATTAACAGCTAAATTTCTAAAGCATTAAAAAAGACAAATAGAAGGGTGTCAGATTAGGAAAGATTGTCTTGTAAGGTGTAACGAAGAGACTGATTAGCTTAGAGTTGTGGATCTCAAAGTATGGTTCTCAGACCAAAAGCATCAGGATCACCTGGGGAACTTGTTCGAAATGCAGATTCTCAGATTCCACACTTAATGAATCAGACACTTGGAGTAGAGACCATCAATTTGTTTTAACAAGTCCTCCAGGGATTCTAATACAGCTGATGTTTGACAAACACTAGCTTTGAGTAAACTTAAGAGGGTCACGTTAGTATTTTTAAATCATTGGAAGTTGGTTTGTTTCATTTTCTCTTAAGTGGAACTCATTTGTACTTCAATACACAGAATGGATATTTAGAGGAAGTAGTTTTTGACCTAACACAGATGAGCACTTCCAATTGAATAGAGCTTTCTGAGAATGTGGCTGCCCTCTACAAGTAAATAACTGGTTTTCTCTAGACTGGAGCTGCAGACAGGTCACTATGTGTATGGAGGATTGTATTAATACTATCGTGGCTCTTTACAGCTCTGCATCACTAATATTTTATTTTAAAGTCTTTCTTAATATCCATTGTCTCTGTGTTCATGATGGTAAGGACTGGGTAATATTAACAATCATCCTGTTGTTGACAATAGATGATAAGGGAAAGCCCAGCTTTACGCTCTCTGTCAACTTACTCCAATTCCCTATTCCTCGTCTAATTTTTTAACACATTAACACATGACCTTGACATTGCTAAATAAGAAGCCCTCTCACTTAGAACCCAATGCAATGTGATAAAAATTATTTTTAGAACAATCAGGAGCTCTAGTTTTCAACTCTGCTTGTCTTATCAAGTAATTCTATGCCTGAATTTCTTCTCTGTAAATATAAATAGTTGGAATAGAGGATCTGTTAAGTGTTATTTAAGCTGAAATTTTATGTATCCCACGCTGAGTTTCTCTCCTATACCCACCCCTAACCTATTCAACAATCACACCACCAGTTTTCAGGACTCAAGAGTAGGATTAGCCATCTGTCATTTGTTAATAGGAATACTTTTTCACCCAAACAAGAAACTCATGATTTTTCCTGTCTTTTTTTTTTTTTTTAATTTATTTTAGCCAGGTGCTGGCCTGGAACTATAGAACAAACATTTCACAAAAAGTAATGATGATATACAAAGGAAAGAAGATTTCTTTGAATATCCATAATCTCAATATGGAGCCTGTCTGTGGATGGCCAAGAGGTAGTTTCCTTAACTGGAAAAAGTTTTTTAAATGAGGCTTGGTGGGCGATATTTCTTTGCATCATTACAAAGAGGAAAAAAGAGAAATCTCACAACTGAAGAAAGTGAAATCCACTTTACTTAATGCGGACCTCTGTCTCTGGTGTGCAGGTCCTCTGTGTCCAAAGATAATTAGCACTTTATAATGCTAATTATTATAATTATGTCTGAGAAAAAAATCATTAGGGGGTAGGTCCGTTCACTGATTTTCAATTGCCCCCTCTATTTAAAAATAAGGTCATTTTTCTATGAAATAGCTTCAGGAGCTCGAAGCAGAAAGAGGGTTATAGAAAATCCTGTGTAGGTATAAGCCTGAGTTTTTAATATTCTTATAATTTTGTGATATGTCTGGGAACTGAACCGGGAGGAAAACAGCGAACCTATTTAGTCTAGAAGACTAGAAATCAGGACTCTGAAGAGCAAACATTTCTGTAATAGTTGGTCCTCAAATAGTCATTCATTCACCATCCACTGTGTTCCTGGCAACATGCTAAGCTGTTTCTAGATGCTATCTCATGTAACACCTATCATAGTTGCACAAAACAAGTACTAGTACTCCATTTTTCATAGATAAGGAAGTAAAATCTTAGAAGTTAGCTGCCCAATGTCATGTATATAGGAACTAAAGTTGGATTCTGATTCAAATCTGCTTGCTCCAAAGCCCTTTTTGTAAACATTTCACTTACCTGTGCTTACATGTAAATGAACCTTTTCTGTTAGGGGTCTTGAAATACTGACTAAAGAATGGTGTAGGGGAGGGGAGGTTTAGAAATACCTGGAAATTGGGTTGTTTGAGAGAATCTCACTCTCAGGTGGTAGGCGATCAAGCTAACAGAATAGATGAGGAGAGCCCCAGAAGTATAAAAATGGTCTAGGGGGAAGAATTTGGGAAACAGAGTGAAAATAGCCTGCTTCTGAAGACCAGCTTTATCTCTTTCCTTCTGGGTGATAATAAAAGAGCCCTTTAACTTTGCCAGGTCTCCATTACTAATTTCTGAAACAACTCCTGCTACTATTACTACAGATCTTACTACTCTTACCATCACCACCACCGCCAGCACCATATCAGTTACTGAGAACTAGATGCCAAGCGAAATGCTAAACGCTTCATATACATTATTGTTTTAAATACAAAATGTACTATCAATCCAATTTCATATATAAAAGAAAACTGAGGTTCAAGGAGGCTAGGTAATTTGTATGTGAATATGCTTTATACTATGTAAAACATCTTATTAGTAGATATCACTATTATTAAGAACCTATCAGCCGAAGAGGAGGAATTGGCCTTTTATCTTTCTATGATGAACAGTTGTCTTTCTGTTTAATGGTTTTTTAAAAATCCCCCTGTGACAAGCTCCAGAGGACAAATAATTTATTTCTTGTGGTGTATGGCTCTCTAAATGAATTAATTGATAGGCATCCCATTGTCAGTCTCAGGGATGTGGAAATAAAACAGGCATGAGATGTTCTTTACCAAACTAATTTGTGCTTTAAACACATAAATAATAAATACATATATTTTAAAGTAAATGTGTATTTACCATCTCTCCTGCTCCACTTCGAATTCAAGAACCTGTGTCTTTGTTGTGTCATTGCACTGTCAGTTGAGAAGCTTGGTTTTGTTTCTTTGAGTATTAGTAAGTGGAATTAAATAGTAAATATTGCTTGGGGAAAAAAAGAAGAAAAACAGCTCTTTCAATCCATCCTGCTTCCATTCAATGAAAGGAAGGTAGAAAGAATACTTATGATAATTGTAATAAGTATAACAGAATAGCAGAGCCACTCTTTTCCTTTCAGGAGGCCATTAGGTCAAAACTATTTTCATAGCAATACTAAGATGATATTTGCCTTTTCACTGTGTTGGCACTTTGATAATGCAAAAACATTGGAGTCTTAGCCAAAATTAAGACCACGAAAACAAAGTGCACTAGGAGTAATTATATTCTTCATTGCTATTTACTTGCAGCGGGGGGAACCCATTTTCATTTAAGAAAGTCCTTGGTAAAGTAGTAAAAATATTAATTTTATTAAATCTCGACCTAAGTACAAGTCTTTTAAACATTCTGAGTGATGAAAGGGAAGAATATCTGAAGTGCTTCTGCTGCATACCAAAGTATGACAATTGTCTCAAAAAAAAGCACTTGTGTGATTGTTTGAGATGCCAGCTGCGCTGGTCCCTTTTGTTTGAGAACCACCATTTTTACCTGAAAGAATGTACAGACAAACTATGGGTATTCAGAGTTGAATATTTTGCAGATATTTTCTTGCAAATAAATAAAGGGGGCCTCTGGCTTCAGGAAAAACAACTGACAGTATTTTCAGCCAATTAGAAAATTAAATCTTTCAAGAGACCATGCCTTGACAGTTCCCTAATACTTCCAAAAGATGGAGGGTGGCATTAATAAATACAGTTTTTTATGATGTTACATAATGGAATGTTTTAAAGATTGTAATATCTGAATAACCATGAAAAACAGTATTTTTCAAATGACAAACACATGGTGTTACATAATCATGAGTGGGTAAAAATGCAAGATACAAGAATGGATTTTAATGCAGCAGAGTACAAAACATTCACTTCCCATTCCATATTGCAACTAACCTTTAAGAAACTACAACTTGTTGAGTTCTGGGTATTATCAAAAAATGTCTACAATTTATATGACTAGTCTATTAAAATACTATTATATTTTTCAACTCCATGTCTGTGTGAGTCAAGACTTTCTTTATATGTCAACCAAAAGCACATTGAATTGTAGAAGTAGATATGAGAATCCAGTTGTCTACTGTTTAGCCAGATACGAATGAGATTTGTAAAACGGAAAACAATGCAACTCCTTTCAATATATATCTTTTGACTTTGAAAACAATTATTTTTCATAATTTGTTATTTTTATTAACAGTGTTTATTACTATTATTTAAAAATCAATATTTACACATCTATAATAATCTCCGCTTTAATTTCTAATATGATAAATATCAAAAATATACATATCACCAAAACTCTCTGGGAACCTCAACTAATCTGCGCTTCTAAGGGTCTGAGACTAGAGTGTTTGAGAACTGCTGGACTAGGGTAATGAACAATTGTATGACCTGCCCTTGGGTCTGTAAATTTGTTTGTTGCACCATTTCCGCACAGCAATTTGTCAAACTGTCAAAATTACTAAAATTTGGGTAGCTTTTGACCAGCAATTTCCACCTTTAACAGTTCATTCTTTTTTTTGAGAGGGAGTTTCGCTCTTGTTACCCATGCTGGAGTGCAATGGCGCGATCTCGGCTCACCGCAGCCTCCGCCTCCTGGGTTCAGGCAATTCTCCTGCCTTAGCCTCCTGAGTAGCTGGGATTACAGGCACGCGCCACCATGCCCAGCTAATATTTGTATTTTTAGTAGAGACGGGGTTTCACCATGTTGACCAGGATGGTCTCGATCTCTTGATCTCGTGCTCCACCCTCCTCGGCCTCCCAAAGTGCTGGGATTACAGGCTTGAGCCACTGCGTCCGGCCTAACAGTTCATTCTTAAGAAAAAGTTGTGGATTTCTGCATTTATTTATTTATCAAAATATTTATTATACTTTCTATAATATAAAATAGCACTTATAAATATCCATGGGTTTGTTTAAATACATTTTGTTGTCTTAAGATAGAATATCATGTAACCATTAAAATTATGTTGTAAAAACTAATAGATGGCATAACATTTGTTAATAATATATTAAATTTAAATATAGTTATAAGATACTTACTTTGAAAACTAAAATAAAAATCCTTTCTCCTCTCCCTATACATTTAAGTTTTATTTTTGTATTTCTCTATGTATCTGGAAGTTTAGATAAATAATGAGTAATTTATTTTTCAAGGATGATGAATGATGGGTTATTAGTGCTTCTAAAAGTCTTTTGAGTTTTTCTAATTTCTACAGAATGTGCATTAATTTTTTATCAGGAAAAAAGTTTACAAAAATGTGGTGGATAAATCATAACTTTCAGATTGACAGTCTTTTATTTCCGAGCTTTGATAGAAAAGAGTATGTTTAATATGTGAATGTAATTAGGAAAAACCAGAGCAGGGCATTACTGGAGCACTGGGTAAATAGTTGGATAAAGAGCAGGTTAAGACAACTGACTTTTATTGAGGACCTATTCTGGCTCATGTATTATGTTAGGGGCAGGATTGAAAATACAAAATTGCCATTTTTGTAGGTCAAAAATTGTTGAAAATCAGCATTTATATTCTATTAAAACTATCTCATTTAATATAATAGATATTATTATTATGCCTATTATACAGTTGAGAAAATGAAGCTCAGAAGTTAAATAACTTGCTTGGGATGACAAGTTTTTTCCAAAGTATATTTTCCTTTCTTCAAAGTTCTGTCCTGGATCAACTCGAGGGTAAGATCTTTTAAGTCTGCAAATGGGATATCTTCATTAAATTACATACAACTTAACTCTAGAAAACCTATTTCAACATATGTACAATGGTGTTAGATCCCCTACTGAGTATGCTGCCCTTGGATGTACAAAGTTATTAAAACTGTTTGGTATGCTTTTAATGTGAATAAATATATTTTAAATAAAGGACAGATGAGGTATCAAGAGCTCCTCACCTGTCTTCTTCTAAAAATAATTTTGGGACTCTGCTGAAACGGAAAAGTAGTATGATAATCTCTGAAGCTCACCATCTACTCTCCTCCAAAACAGCTAAAATAAAGCATAAATAAAAATGTCAACTGCAGCGGGGTAACAAAACCAAATAGAAGCCAGATTTAAGCTAAAGTGAAAAAAATATTGAAGGCAAAAAACAGTTGAAAGCAAGTCTAAATAGAAAACAAAAAGGGGGTGGGAGATTAGTTCCAAAAACAACTCAGAAAAGGTTGAAGCCTTCCACAAAAATTCTAAAACACAAAATCAAGAATACACAGTTCCTACTTTAATATGAAAAGTTATAATGCCGAAAATAAAATTGAAAATAGCAGAAACAGACTCTAAGTGTTAAGTTGAAGAAGGCCCAGAGTAAAAGTGACCTTGAGAAGGAAGAAGTCTAAAGAACTTGGATAAAGCTGCCCCAGTACCACCTGGATAATATATTCTTGGATGTAACTTATCCTAAAAATAACCAGAAGAAGCAAGAGCTGGAAAGAAACCAGTATGGATATAGATGGATGGAAGTGGGGTGAAGGAAACATGCATATTTGGATCCATGCAAGTATTCAAATTAGGAGACCAGATTTGCCCTGTCAATGTGAAATATCAGAAGAGACATCCTTTGTTTTGGATATGGCAGATTTTACACAATTAAACAATTACACAGGAATTCTTAGAGGAGGAACTCTCCGAGTATTTAGTATTCTGATAAGTGGTATGGATTCACCATGCCCCTCAATGGAAGTTTTTTTCAGCTTGAAGAATAACATCTCATAAAATAAGTATTTTGTGGAAATGGTCTGGTCTCCAAACATCATATATATATACATACTATTTTTTAGAGATGGGCTCTCACTCCATTGTGCAGGCTGGAATGCAGTGGCACTATCATAGCTCACTGCAGCCTGCCACTCCTGGGCTCAAGTGATCCTCCCATCTCAGATCCTCCCAAGTAGCTGGTACTACAGGCTGTTGCCTCTGCACCCAGCTCCCAAACATCATTTTATGTATATGTAAGTTCAAATTCCAAGAGTGAAGAGGCTTCCCCAAAGAATGTGAATATTTCCAAATTAAAGATCAACCTAGGTCCCTTGTGTGCCACTTCATTGTTTGTTTACATGTTTTATTTGAGTGACATATGAGGAAACATTTCCTAAACAAGTGCTTTTCTAAACATTTTCATTCTACTTGTCTGAGGGGTATGAGTGAAGAGTGGAGAAAGAAGTACTCATAGTTAGCATTGGTGTGGTTTGCTTGTGCAATTCCACTTGGGGAAGGTAGAAGTTGTAGGGGAGTTAGTTAGTTATTAGCGGGGATGAGGGAGAACTTGGATAGTCCATGGAAATGCAGTCTCCAGGTGGAATGCCAATCAGTAGATAAATAGTGTTCATGACTCTGCTCAGAAGGTATCTACTACAAAATGTAGAATATAACATCGACATTGCTGGGAGCCCCCTCATCCTTTGGACATCAGTTGAACTTAGCTTGAACCTTCAATTTTACAGCTGTGAAATCTAGTACCTTCCCCAAGATATCTTCAAATTTTCAAAATTATCACCTCATAACTCCTCGGATTTTCTTTGTCCACTGCCATCTTGGAATGATTTTATTCCAGCTAGTATAATGACTTCATCCATTCACTCTTTCCATAAGAATTTAATCATACATATGATTTCATTCCATTAGTCGCTTTAATGAACACCTAAGATCTTGGGACGAGATCGCATTGGGCACCATACAGCCTCCTACAATTTCCTAGGTCCCAGCCTCACATTTTCTTCTACCTTCCCAAAGTCTGGCATCCAATCAATAAAGCAAACAAATAATTATATTACCCAAATCAGGACATTCTAAAATTGAAATAGGGTGCTATTAATAACTATATTAGAACCACAAGTTTAAATGAGAACTATATGGAAGAAAACTATATATCCTACCAATATATTAATATGACCAGTCCCCCATTGTAAGAAGCCCTTTAGAAATGTAGCTTCATCTCCTCATCTCTGAGGGCTTCCTTGATTGGGACAGTAGACTTTCCTTAGGACCCCAGGGTATTTTGAAGATTAAGTTTTTCTCTAATCCATTATAGTTGTTTGTTTGTTTAAGTTATCATCAATGGCTTAGCTCTTCCTTATATTTGTTTGTGTTTCTCATAATTTTTTTAAATTTTAAAGCAAAACATAGTTAACCTCAATACAATCATTTATGTACACGTCTATTTTTTTCTGCTAAACAGTAAATTCCTTTGGGGCAAAGACCATGTCAAGTTCATTATAGCAAAATGTGCTACTTGTTCCTCTCTATGTTTTCTCCTTTTTCTATCATAAGAGAACCTTGTTTTAGCTTTCAAAAAAGGTCACTCAGTATTAAAACAACACATTTCACAGCCCCCTTTGCAGCTAGGAGTGAGCATGTGATACAGATTTATACAACAGAATAGGAGTACTGGCTATATATATATTTTCTGGACATGCCCTTTTTTTGCCAATTCATTTTTCTTGCTAGAAGGCATATGCATATAAATGTACCAGTGTGGCAAAGATTATTATTAATCACTAGTTAATCATGTGATGCTCTATGTTTACCATCTTCCCTTGCCTATAAGTGGAGACTATCTGACTATCTTTTGCCACATAATATAATTAAAATGAGTGTCACTTCAGAAAGGGCCAGTTAAGATCTCATGTGTTTCTGTTACTCTTGCTTTGTCACAGAACTATTGGAGGCCACTAGTTCCAGATAAACAGCTATAAGAAGACGGCCCATGGACTCAACTGGGGCAACTCAGATTGGGAGTCATTTTTGTTAATATGGTACAGCAAGGTGTTACTTGTCTAGAGTAGGAGAACCATTTTTGGCCATGTAGTCAACATCAATACCTTAGGGAGTAGAAAGTCACAAAACCAAAAATTCCTGGGTTCCAGACATTGTGGAGATAATATCTGACTTCTGAACTCTTTCCTCTTGAGCTTCATATGAGAAATAAATGTCTATTTTGTTTAGGCCACCACAAATTTGGGTCAACTTGCAGCAGCCTAATTCATTCTCAATAATAAGCCTATCTTTGCATTTCTCAGGGTGCCTCATAAGGTATCTCACTCATCAGGGATGCTCAATTAAACATTTGGTGAATTGAAATAGGATAGATAAAAAGACCATGTAAAAGGGTAAAGGATATTTAGACAAAAGTAAAGTCAACAGAAGCCCAAAAAAGAGGAAAAGCTATTTTAAAGGTTTGAACTTCTGGACAAACGTTCCTGGCATTTCCTAGCATACCAATTGGGAAACAGAGTCCCCAACCAGAGGCAGCACTCTGTCAGCCTGTGGGTCTAACCAAACTCACAGATGGGTTTGGTTTGGCTTGCATTACACTTTTTAAAAAAATGTGAGTTAGTTGCCAACATTCATAAATAGGACGAGTTTACATGGAAATCCAGATTTCTGGCTTCTTTTGAAAAATCAAAAGACCTGGCAACTTAGGCCACATAGTCTCATATGGTGACAAATTGGCTAGGACTGTGGCATCCCCCTGTAGTCAGGACATGAGTTAATCAGCTCATGATGACTATGACATTGTCTCTCTGACATTGAGACTGTGTGTCACTTGCCATCTATATCACAGTACTTGCTTTCTCACTTGTAAAAATTTGGCCTGCTTCCATAAGTGACCCTAAAAATAACTGAGATTGAGAGCCTTACCCAAGGTGATGATGAGACCTGTGTTTTATACATTGTTTTGTGGGGAAAATCCTAGAGTGCAGGAGTTGAGCAGCAAGAATTAAAGAAATTGGGAGATCCCAATAGAGCAGTACAGGCAACATGGAAATCTTAGGCAACATAAGTTTTAATGGGAGAAGGCATTTATTTGAGCAGGTGTTATGAGAGGCCAGTGATCCCAATAGGCATATGACCATCCCATTCTCTGCTTGTTCTCTTAGCCCCACCAAAAGATGAAGTGGCCCCCAGACTCCAGGTCTAATGTAAGAACCATATGCTATTGTGCTCTTTTCAGCTCTGCTCCTAGATCTTCATAGAATTCTTGACAACTTGGTGATTGGTGCTTCTCCAAAGACTTGAAAGATTGAGAGGCAAATAGATAGTCTATATGTCTCCCCCCACTTATCGTGATTTCAATAAGAAATGTGAAGATGGAAGATGAAATACAAGCAGAGACAAAATGAAGTTGTAAATCAAATACTATTTTGCTTCCCTTGCTGGAAAAAGCCTGTTGAGTGCTTCAGAGAGAAAGAAAGCTTGCAATGTGGGGAGGGAGGATTGAGACAAAGGGAAAAGTTGTATTTCTGTGTTTCAGTTAATCTCTTGATATTGATGGCTGTAGAGCCCCAGATGTTAGAGCTAATGCAATATGCATTGGTCCATCACATTGGGAAATCTCTAGCCTCTGCAACAAGGAATTAATAAATCTAGTAATTGTGTCATGTCTGTAATACAGGCTAGGAAAAAAAAATTGTGTAAACCATTTGATAAATGTGCCTGCCCAGATAGCATGTGTTTCTGAGGCCCTCCACAGGGATTCACCCAAAAGGTTGCCCAGGCATTTTTTTCTTCCACTATGTCCTCTGTAGGAGGAGCTGGCACAAAACAGAATGGTTGTTTATTTAGTGTGGCATTGGCATCTAATTAATAGCATCCAAAATCGATTCTTTATGCTTTGTTTCTTATCAACACCCCTCTCCAGAAAGCGAGTTCTCTAAGGCAATTAGAAATAATCATGGGCTTGCCAAAATGCTCTTTTCGATTTTCTAAACATTATAACTAGAATGTGCTTCAGTTTTAGCTTTTAAGAGGCTCTTTTTTATTTAAATAAAATGAACAACTAAGCAGTTGTCTGAAGCATCAGGACACTATATATGTATCCAGAATGACATATGCAATATGCTTTGTAAAACATTTCTGAATTTCCCTTTTAATTTTTCTGCAGCATGTTGAAGAGTATGAATTTAAAAATAATTGTGAACACATCATCGTCATCAATTCTTGTACCTCTTCAGTGTGCTAAATTCAACACAGAGGTATGGACGTGGGAGAAGTAGAAGGAAACTGAGAAGTAAAAAGTTCGCAAAGGATATCTCTTGAGGACAGACTCATATTTACCATGATTATGTCAATCTCTTTGCTGCTAGAAGATTTCTGTGCCATTTATGATGAAAAGGTATATAGGCTTGAGTAAACCAATGAATAATAGGAAGCTGTGTTCCCATGTGTACCCAAGGTGATTAATCTCTTAGAGCGTGAGGACAAAATAATTAGAAGGTGCCATGTCACAATTAACAAAAGTGATTATTGACCACATTAACTTGGATGGACCCTTTGGTAGGACTGTCTCATGCCAGTCAGAAAACCACTGTACTCACATCACTGTAAATATGCCTTGTGCCATCAATATGTTTTGGAAGCAAAATCTACCACCCACAGACTTTTGTAAATAAATTCGTAACATTAGTTTCATTTCATCTCTTTCTGGACCCAAGAAGATTGGGTTATGGGTTGCCAAGATTATAAACCCCAGAAGACAAAGATTGTATCTTGTATGTCCACCTTGATAGATCTGTTGGTTGTGGCTATTAGGGCACTGTGTTGAGGCTACTTGCAGCTGCAATGCCATGATGGATTAGTCATATCATCCATGGGTAAGGAAAACAGTGCTGTGATACATTATCTAAATATTTGCCAGCCTTGTTCTAAATCTTCACATTTTACTTCCTAGAAAATCTGCAGTTGACTCTTGGCTGTTTTCTCAAGATTCCCTTTGGTGTGCAACATCTCTTTGTAATTCAACAACACTTTCTCCTACAGTAAGAAGGAGCTTAGAGTCATATCAGAAAGACTGACTATCCTGGGTCAGAACCTCAATATTTCTGGGTAATTATTGTGCTTTATTGAAACAAAAGATCAGCTTCTATGATAATATGAAATGTTATGATATGCTTTCTAACAGAAAAACTAAAAATGAATGGATGGAATAGTCTAAGAGTCTAGCAAATAATTTTATCACTACTGTTCAGACCTGGCTAGAACTAGAAAAAAATGGCAGAAAAGTAGAGAAGCCAAGAAAGTGAGAGAGGAGTTGGCTGGACTTCACATGTGAAGTGACAAGGAAGCCAATAAGAGATTTGATTGTAAGAGTGAAGAGAAATCTTCCAATCCCAGTGACATAGTAAAGGAATAGACTAGATGCTGGAAAGGGAAGGATAGATATAAGATGTTAAAGAGATGAAGTTGATCAACATCCTAGCATAAGATATACAACTGTGATGGTTTTAAAACATGTCTGCAAATGTTTTGACACGTTCATTAAAAAGCAGAATAATTTTTCACTATTAAATAAAAACCGGTCATGGTTTAGAGAATTGCTTTCAGAGGCTAGTTCTTGAAAGGTGATATAGCTAATGCTGGCTCTCTCTCTCTTTTTCTCCCTCTCTTTATTCATAGGCATGCAGCTTTGGAGTCCTGAGCCACAAAGTAAGAAACTCAGTTGCCATGTTGAAGACACTCTCTGGAAAGGCCATAAAAAGATAGAGAGGCCGGGCGTGGTGGCTCACGCCTATAATCCCATCACTTTGGGAGGCTAAGGCGGGTGGATTACGAGGTCAGGAGATTGAGACCATCCTGGCCAACATGGTGAAACCCCGTCTCTACCAAAAATACAAAAATTAGCTGGGCATTTGGCACACACCTGTAGTCCCAGCTAATTGGGAGGCTGAGGCGGAAGAATCACTTGAACTTGGGAGGCGGAGGTTGCAGTGAACGGAGACTGCTCCACTGTGCTCCAGCCTGGCAACAGAGCAAGACTCCATCTAAAAAAAAATAGAGAGAGACACTCAAGGAGCCCCAGCTATTCTGGCCCCCACCTAATTGAGCCACCAGACAGCAGCAACCATCAGATGTGTAAGTGAACAAGCCTTCAGGTGATTCCAGTTCTACCTACAATCTGATTCAGCCATGTAAAGACTCCAAATGAGAACTGCCTAGCTGAATCCAGTCAATTCCAGGACCATGAGAGATAATAACAATACCAATAACCATAATAAGCATTATTGTTGTTTTAAGCCACTAAATTTTGGGATTGTTTGCTACACAGTTGTAGATAACCATAACTATACTCTCTTCTCTTCATCAGGGATAGAAGTAGACTATCTTTAAAGATTTTTACAATTCTAAAATATACTAGGGCATCTAAGTTGAAATTGAGGCTCATGTAGCTGGATAAAATTTGAGATACATTTTAGAGTCATATTATCCCCATGATGTGCCTCTTTTCCTTCCTTCTCCTCAAAGCACAGATTTCTTTGGCATTGTCTCAGGAGGGGAGGAATGCTGCAGGACTAAAACCAGAAGATGTCTTGGCTTTGTTTCCCCAACGTAAGCCTTTAGAAAATCACATGCATTTTGTAGAAGTGGAAGAAAGGAAGCCAGGTAACATGCAAGAAGAAGCAGAGTAGCTTGGAAAAAAAGTATAAGTCAGGAGCAGGGAAACTACCAGCCACCTCAACTAGAAGAATATTTTTTTGGGCTGAGGTTGGAGTAAGAAGCAAGAAGGGAAATATCTATGCATCATGCAAACAGAGAGGGCTGTGGGCATCTCTTTGGCAGTAGCCAAAGGAAGCAGTAAGTCTCCAGAGAAGAATGTTATGTCTGGACAGTAGGATTCTGGGAGGTCTTAAAATAGTGTCCTGTGTCCCAAACACAGCATGGCATTGTGGACTGAAATTATTTTTCCCCCTCTCATATAAGTAAAATAACTTTGCTGCAGAAAAAAACTGGGAGTCAATATCAATGATAGGTCAGTGAGGCAGCTATCAATATCCATGATAGCTTCAGTGACAAGGAGAGGTTCTACTTTGTCCATAGCTTATGGGGCTATGGACCTCAAAAAGAGAGAGAGCCAGGGCAGGAAAACTTGAAGAGGTTTATGTGTTCATAAGAAACCTTCCCAAGGATATTCAGATGAGATTTTTGAGGTACTGGAGTTTTTAAGTAAAACACACTGAGAAGGATATCAGGGATGTCTTATCTTTATTGTGAAAGTGAACTGCATTATCTTTAGAATGATAAAGTCTGGGAAAACTCAGGTTCCAAATCAGTTCTTTGGAGTCTAGAGTAAGCATTCTAAAATGATTCTGTGATCTAATTGGCAATAACTAAGCCTCTGATAGACCACTGTGCAAATCTAATTCTGTGATTCTTGGTAATTGTAAAATTAAGTTTGCTCAGAAAGTTTCATTTCCTTCTATTTCTTAAACAATAATCTAAATAAATACTGCCTTTTAAGATTAATCTCTTTTTCCCTCATGTGCATATAGAAGTGTGATTGTTTCTCTGTAGTAGCAATTATCTCCTTCCAATTTGGGTTATTCTGTTATTTGTGACAGTCTCCCCATGAGACTATGAGCTCCTGAAGGGCAGTAACTTTGTCCTGTTCATTAAGGGATTCCAACAATTCCTCTTAAAAAACACTACATGTAATATTTTACTTACTGAAAACATATTTATAGAACACCTTTGTTGTGCCCAGCACTGTGCTCAATAAATGACTCAAGGAATTGAAAATTAAAAGCTTCTCATGTGTGATAACAAAGCTATTACACAGCTAAGAAATGTCTTCAACAATATTTTTAAAAGAAAAACATACAAATCCATCTGCTTTGTAAATATTTATTTTGGACATTTTCCTCTATATATGTAAGAGATATGGACCCATAGTTTTCAGTTTTTGTGCTAACTTTGGTATTTGTATAAAGGTTATAAGAGATTTGTATATTATATTGAAATCATTGCATATGTTTCTATGATCTGCAATAATCTTTATACCATTGGAATCTGTTCTTTTAAGTTTAGTAGAATTCATCTACAAAACTGTCTTGGTTCAACGTGTAAGAGTTTGAAAGCCACCATTCTCATCTTTGCAAAAATAAAAATAAATATAAAATTGAGCAAACTGAATATCAGCAACTACTCTTGCACTCACCAGAGAATTGAGGTCACAGGACAAATCACTGCTTAAAACCTGGGAAGACAGGTGAGGACATGCAGAAATCACAGTATACTAGGAACGGAAGCTGCTAGAGTCAGCAACTGGTAGAAGTGCATAAATGGATACTGACTAATTGTGAGAAAAAAAACCCTCAAACTCAAAATAAATTTTTACACACCAACATAACTTACTGCCAAGTCTCCTTTATAATAATGGGAAATTACAGCTAAAAGAACTGCAAGCCTCTAACTCTATTTAAGAAGAAGTCTTTAGAGAAAGCCAAAGACAATATGAGAGAAGAAAACAGAGAAAATCTTAACCTCTGACACCTAAAGCAAACAGTAAACAGAATCTAACCTCACACTAAATACCTATTTACCTCAGTTTCTTTTACTTAACACATTATGTCCAGATTTTAGCAAAAAATGAAGGCATGATAAAAGGCAAAAACCACAGTTTAAAGAGACAAAGCAAAATCAGGGTCATACTTTTAGATATGGCAGAGATTTTGGAAATCAAACTGGAAATTTAAAATAACTACCATTAATATACTAAGGGCTCCAGTGGAAAATATTCTCATCTCATACAAAATCAGATGGGTAATAAGCAGAGAGATAAAAACTGGAAAAATAATTCTCCCTAAGAAAGAAAATGCTAAAAATAGTATAATAGAAATAATGAATGCTTTTGATAGGCTCAGGGACACTGGACATGGTTAAGGAAAGAATCAATGAGCTTGAAGATATGTCAACAGAAATGTCCCAAACTAAAAAGCAAAGAAAATAATTAAATGAAACAGAATATCCAAGAGCCGTGGGACAATTTAACCAGTTTTAAGATACATGCAATAGAAATATCAGAAGAAAAAGAAAGAAAGAAACAAAATTCCTACACCTATGAATATCATATTCAAACTTCAGACAACCAAAGGAATAGAGAGCATTGTGAAAAAAACCAGAAGGGAAAACCAACTTCACACACAGAGAAACAATAATAAGAATTACATTAGACTTGCCTCTCAGAAACCACACAAGCAAGAAGACAGTGGAGTGAAATATTTAAAATGTTGAAAGAAAAAAACACCAACCTAGAATTGTATATTCAATGAAATTATCCTTTAAAAGTAAAAGACTTTCTCAAACAAAAATTGAGAGAATTTGCCATCAATCTACTTTCTTTGTGGAAAATGTAGCATTTCTTCAAAGAGATGCTAAATGATATAGGTCAGAAACTTCTACTACATAAAGAAAGGAAAAGCATTATAGAAGGAATAAGTAAAATAAAAAAAACCTTTTTTATATTATTTTCTTATTCTAAATTGGTTCTACAGACAACTGTTCAAAATAATAGCAACAATATCTGAATGATTATTGATTTTAAATAAGTGAAATGAGTAACAGCAATGTTATGAGGGATGGGAGGGAAGAACTGGGAATACTCAGTTATAAGATACCTGCACTAGTTGTGAAATAGTATAGTGTTATCCAAAGGTGAACTTAGATTTGTTGTAGATGTATATTGAAAAGTCTAGGGCAATCACTAAAATTTTTAAAGGGGTCCTTTAAGATTTGTTAAAGGATTCTTAAAGTTTTAATTGATCTAAGTTTTGAAAAAAATGAAGTCATATAACATGCTCAATTAAAATTAGAGAAGGCAAAAAAAGATTAAAACACTAACAAAGGACAAGGTCAATGGATAAAAACAGTTGCAACTATGGCAGATATTAATTCAACTGTATGAGTAATCACTTTTAATATGAAAGGTCTAAATATAACAATTAAAAGGCAGAGACTGTCAGATTAACAAAACAGATCCACGTATAGGTTGTCAACAAGAAACCCACTTTAAATATAAAATCATATATAGATTAAAAGTAAAGGAAGGGGCCAGGCGTGGTGGCTCCACCTGTAATTCCAGCACTTTGGGAGGCTAAGGTGGGTGGATCACCTGAGGTCAGGAGTTCGAAAGAAGCCTGGCCAACATGGAAAAATCCCATCTCTACTAAAAACACAAAAAATTTAGCTGGGCTTAGTGGCATGCACCTGTAGTCCCAGCTACTCAGGAGGCTGAGGCACAAAAATGTCTGGAACCCAATTGGCAGAGGTTGCAGTCAGCCTTGCACCACTGCACTCCAGCCTGGGTGACAGAGTGAGAGTGACACTCGGTTTCAGTTAAAAAAAATACTAAAGGGAGGAAGAAAGCTAAGATTAATCAAAGAAAGATGACTTGGTTGTATGAACTTCAGACAAAGCAGACTTCAGAGCAAGGAAAGATTTCAAGAGTAAACAGAAACATTACATAATAATAAAGACTGTAAATTAGTTCAACCATTGTGGAAGACATTGTGGTGATTCCTCAAGGAGCTAGAATAGAAATACCATTTGACCCAGCAATCCCATTACTGGCTATATACTCAAAGGATTATAAATTGTTCTATTATAAAGACACATGCACACATACATTCATTGCAGCACTGTTTACAATAGCAAAGACCTGGAACCAACACAAATGCCCATCAATGATAGACTGGATAAAGAAAATGTCACACATATACACCATGGAATACTATGCAGCCATAAAAAAGATGAGTTAATGTCCTTTGCAGGACATGGATGAATCTGGCATCATCATTCTCAGAAAACTGGCACAAGAACAGAAAACCAAACACCACATGTTCTCACTCACAGGTGGGTGTTGAACAATGAGAACACATGGACACAGGGAGAGGAGAACATCACACACTGGAGTTTGTTGGGAGGTGGGGGTGGCTAGGGGAGGGATAGAGGGGTTGGGGAGATTGGGGAGGGATAACATTGGGAGAAATACCTAATGTAGGTAATGGGGGGATGGAGGCAGCAAACCAACATGGCATGTGTATACCTATGTAACAATCCTACAAGATCTGCACATGAACTTAAAGTATAATAAAAAAAAATAGAAAGCAAAAAAAAGAAGCTAATTTTCTTAGATGACACATTTCTTAAAGTATGTATATAAAAATAGAATGTCAAAATACATGAAGCAAAAACTGATTAAATTGCAAGAAAAAATAGTTGGAGACTACTATAGTCGAAGACTTTAACACCTCTCTATTAGTAATTGATGTCAGGTAGAAAATAAGGATATATTAGAACATAACAGCACCATTAATCAACTGAAACTAATTGACATTTATAGAATATTTTATCCAACGACAGCAGAATACACATTCTAATAATTCTTACATAGAACACCAAGAAGACCATATTCAAAGTCATTAATGAATCATACAAAATTTTTAAAACAAACATTTTGAGGTATGCTCTCACACTAAAATTGAATTAAAGTAGAAATCAGTGACATAAAAATAGCTGGGAAATTCTAAAATATTTGAGGATTACATGTCATACTTTAAAACAGCATGTGAATCTAAGAAGTCACAAAAAAATGAAGAAATATTTTGAAATAAAATGAAAATATAACTTATTAAAACTTGTGAAGATGCAGTTAAAACAATACTTAGATGAAATTTATATTTTTGAAAGCATGTAATAACAAGAAGCAGGATCTAAAATCAATAAGTTTCTACCTCAGGGAAACAAGAACAAAAAGACTAAATTAGATTCAAAGTTCACAAAAGAAAAGGAACAATAAAAATTAGAGCAGAGATTAATAAAATTGAAAATGGAAAATTGGTGTAGAAAATCAACAAAACCAAAATCTTCTTATTCGAACAGATAAATAAAACTGATAAATGCCTAACCAGACCCACCCAAAACAGAGAGTGATAATACATTATTAATAACAGAAATAAAAGGAGGGCCATTACTACTGATCCCTTGGACATTAAAGGATAATAAAAGACATTATGAACATCTCTATGCCCACAAATTCAATAACTTGGATGAAACAGACAAGTTCATTGAAAGGTACTACCTACCAAAATTCACATAAGGACAATAGATAATATGAACAGGCCTATATCTGCAAAATAAATTGAACCAATAATATTTCCAAAATGAAAGCACAAGGCTCAAATGGTTTCACAGGGTGCAGGTAAATTCTGCCAAATATATACACTTTTTTTTTTTTTGAGATGGAGTTTCCCTCTTGTTACCCAGGCTGGAGAGCAATGGCGTGATCTCGGCTCACCACAACCTCCACCTCCTGGGTTCAGGCAATTCTCCTGCCTCAGCCTCCCGCGTAGCCGAGATTACAGGCACGCACCACCATGCCCAGCTAGTTTTTTGTATTTTTAGTAGAGACGGGGTTTCACCATGTTGACCAGGATGGTCTCGATCTCTTGACCTCGTGATCCATCCGCCTCAGCCTCCCAAAGTGCTGGGATTACAGGCGTGAGCCACCGCACCTGGCTTTGCTTGTTTTTTTTTTTTTTATTTTTATTTTTTGGTTTTTTTGTTTTTTTGCATCTCATAGATTTTGCTGTACACATGTATTTATTTATTTATGAAAGTCTTTTTAAACAAGTTTTTCAAAAAGTCTCTTGTAAATATTTTGAAACATTTTTATTCAGAAATGTTTTTGTAAGGTCTTTCAAATTGCATGCCACTTCTACTGTCCACTAGGTAGAGAATTTTAAGTTCAAAATTACTTTAGAAATGTGAACAGTTTCCTCCAGTGTTTGCTAATGTACATTTGAGGAAAAGTGTGATGTCAATTCATTTTCATATATTTGTAGGAAATCTGCTTTTGTCTTCCTGGAAACCTTTAATTTTCTTTTTTTTTTTTTTTTTTTTTTTTTTTTTTTTCTTTGAGACGGAGTTTCGCACTTTTCACCCAGGCTGGAGTGCAATGGCGCGATCTCGGCTCACCGCAACCTCCGCCTCCTGGGCTCAGGCAATTCTCCTGCCTCAGCCTCCCGCGTAGCCGAGATTACAGGCACGCGCCACCATGCCCAGCTAGTTTTTTGTATTTTTAGTAGAGACGGGGTTTCACCATGTTGACCAGGATGGTCTCGATCTCTTGACCTCGTGATCCACCCGCCTCGGCCTCCCAAAGTGCTGGGATTACAGGCTTGAGCCACCGTGCCCGGCCAATTTTCTAATTATCTTTAATTTTTAAAAACTTAATCCACAAAGTATAATTATTATACACATTCTTCTTGACAGCAAGTATATTTTAAAAGCAGAATAATCATTTCTTTATTCAACTTTGGAATTATTTTCTGCCTTTCTAAAAATATTTTTCTCTCCTCCATTTTTCATTTTCTCTTCTATTAAAATTCCAAATGTAGACAGAATTTTTCTTGAAATGTCTAGATCTCTTCTCCATGACTAATAGGACTTTTCCGAAATATTCTACAATTCTTTGTTGAGAAGCATTTTCAGAAAATTACTCTGTTATATTATTCTGCTTCATAGATATCTCTCTAGCAATTATGTGAGGATTGGGTAGGGTATGCTTCCTGTGACAGAGTTTCTGACATTTCTGTTCTGATATTTGAAGATTCCGCGGCCCTCCTGTTGCCAATACTGACGGGCTTTTCTCAATCGTTTGCTATTTTAACTTGTTCCAATGAAACAAGTCAGTAGGAAAGAGGTGGGCCACCTAGGCACCCAGGGTATATTTCACCAATTTGTCACCTTCACCGTTGTCCTTGTGCTCCCTTTCCCTATTGAATCCTTTTGCACTTAGCTTTGAATTTCTATAGAACAACTGCCCAAATGTTTGTAAAGGTTATGACCTTCAGTTACTGCCATGCATCGAATTCTGCATGCTTTCCACCTGTTCTGGAATTTTAAAAAATTTCTGCTGCACTGATACTTTTAATGTAGTAATTATTCAGTTTTTAAAAAAATATTATTCTATCATTTCAGAAATTTTAAGCAGGAGGTAAAATAGCTGCATGCTCTCAGTCTGCTGTCTTAATCCCATTTCACCAGAACAAATTCAACAGTACTTAATGCCTGTGCCTTTCTATTTTATGTTGCCATACAGGAATACCTTGAAACTGGGTAATTTAAAAAGAACTAACAGTTTACAGACTGTACATGAAGCATGGTGCCAGCATCTGCCCAGCTTCTGGTGAGACCTCAGGGAGATTTTACTCATGGCAGAAGGTAAAGCAGGAGCAGGCACATCACATGGCAAGAGAAAAAGCTAGGCAGTGGGGTAATGTGCCACACTTTTAAACAACCAGATCTCACATGAACTCAGAGCAGTGACTCATTCATTACCAGGAGGATAGCACCAAGCCATTTATGAGGGATTCACCCCCATGATCCAAATACTTATCACCAGGCCCCACCTACCATGTTGGGGATTATATTTTAACATAAGATTTGGAGAGGACAAACATTCAAATTACAATATTACTTTTAAGGATTATATTCCAGACATTAAATTAGAGTCAAATATATTGCATTATTTTTAAAGTCCCCCAATAGACACCAGTGTTTAGTACTCCCCTCCCTGTGTCCATGTGTTCTCATTTTTCATCACCCGCCTATGAGTGAGAATATGCGGTATTTCATTCTCTGTTCTTGTGTCAGTTTGCTGAGAATGATGTTCTCCAGATTCATCCATGTCCCTACAAAGGACACAAACTCATCATTTCTGATTGCTGCATAATATTCCATGGTGTATATGTGCCACATTTTCTCAATCCAGTCTATCATCAATGGGCATTTGGGTTGATTCCTATTATTTTTTTAAAAATTAAGCAGCAGTAAAAAATTCAAAGTGTTATATGACTGTCTGGAAGGATAACAGGGCACTGGGATCAAAGAATAAATTTCCAAAGGTGAACATCTTAGGCTAAAGTCCCACATAAGCTTATTTTCTCAGTAAAGGCAGAGAAAACTTTTTCTCCCTTCCCGCATTATCATTAACTCAGAAGAAAATAGAGACAAAATTCAAATCAGACTCTCTTTTGTCTCCATAATCGAGACAGAAACTACAGATTTATGACTAGGACTAAGAGGTAGAATTATATGTTAAAGAATATTATTGATGGAATCCACTTTAGAGTTTGAGTATCAGAATATTTGCAGGGAGACAATAATTCACACATTTCTAAAGAAGAAAGTGAGAATGTGATCAAGTAGTAAGTGAATAAAAAGGAGACCAAGATACATGTTTAGAAATTATTTACTTCAGAGGTCCCTAATCAATGGTCCATGGATTTTTAGTGAAGCACTTCTAAGTTCTGTGACTCCTTTGAATTTGAATTCAAAATTTTATAGATGCATGTGCATCTGAGGCAGGCAGATTACCCAAGGTCGGGAGTTCAAGACCAGCCTGATCAACATGGAGAAACTCCAACTCTACTAAAAATACAAAATTAGCCAGGCATGGTGGCGCATGCCTGTAGTCCCAGTTACTTGGGAGGCTGAGGCAGGAGAATCTCTTGAACCAGAGGGTGGAGGTGGCAGTGAACTGAGATCAAGTCATTGCATTCCAGCCTGGGTGACAGAGTGAGACTCCATTTAAAAAAAGAAAAAGGGTTGAGTGACAAATTAAATCTTTTCATTTTATAGATTAAAACACAGAGGACCAGACAAAGGAAGTGACTGCGCTCAGTCCAAGCAGCATTGATCAGTAGAGCCATGAGTCATCTAGGTACCTAGATGAGAACTTGTCTGTCTTTGGCCACTGTCCTTTGCCTCTACGTAACCACTGACAGCACCAATTCCTAAAAGATATGCAATTTATTTTTCTCATCACCAAGGTTTCACTTCATATCATAGCAACATGAAATAGACTGGGATAGTTTAAGCTAAGCTAAGGCCTCGGTAATCTATGTTTGTTAAC